AACTCCTCCAATTCCTTTCGGTATCTGTTTTTAACGCTAACCGATAATCGGATTGGAAAATAAAGGATGCGGTTCGCGATCGATAGTAGAAAATATGTAGAATTTAGGTGGGTTGAAAGGGAGAGGGGGGGTGGGGGAAAGGCGATGAATTCGATGGTAAATTCCGCAACTGATCGCGGGACCGGATAGTTTAACGGATTTCAATAATGTGCTTTGTAAACTAGACTGCATTTATTGGTTTAACGTTCAATTGAAACATAAACCGTCCCCGACACAGGCAAAAACACGTAGCAACTGGGATTGTCAATTTTCGCGAATGTACTGTAGTAAGTAGCGTGTAATTAGCGTAAATCCGATCTGCATTAACCACGCGATAGATCGTAGAGGGAAGTAAGACTACCGGAATGTTTATGCTTCGAGAACGGACGAAAATTAACGTCAAGTTAGAAGAAATTTATAAAAGAGAATTACATAAAAAAAGACTGTCTCTTGCTCAAATAAATTTTAAGCGGTGTTATATATTAAGACTGTAAATGTTTGTCAATTCTTAAGATCGATTGTGATATTAGTGTTACGAAATTAAAATGAAATTACAAAAGGGTTTCATTTAAGATAGATATAGAACTACGTATAATTAAGTTTTATTGATACACACGTACACAATGAACAAATGGTTTCGTTACGTTTTACAATTTCAGCTACATAATTAGCACAACTGCGTCTTAAGCATATAGAGAATAAAAGTTCACTGTTTCATTCTCATATAAACTGTAGGATTTTGCATGTGTCACGCGATTCACAATCCACCTCGTCCTTTTTCGCCGGTAATAAAGCGAGAACCTGTTTCCTCCGAGCGAGAACTCGAAATGCACATGGTAGAATTTCTCGATCGGAACTCGTTCATCCGGATTCGGTGGATCTATCCTCGATCCGGACCGAACGAGGGAAGAGGTATCGAGCTTTTGCAAAAGTCAAACGAGCGACATTTTATATATGGTAATGGAAGGACGGTTAAGCGGGTCGAGAATTTCGGAGACAAAAGTTCGGATGATGTGGACCATTCTTTATTAGAATTTCTACGGGATTATATCTGCCCGATATTTTCCCGTGCAACGTTCCTCCATATGCAAATACAAGCCACCATAACTTCTTACATAGTGCACAGCGGTGGACAAATAATGCAATAACGGTAAATCAAGATTAATTTTTAATCTACCACGATGGAAGGGGCGGACAGCGATCCATAATTTATCGCGAGCGCGTAGTGGCCTGGTATTTTGAATTTACGAATAGATTAAAGTAAAAAACTTATCGCGTCGGGTGAGAATACTTTTTCCGTAGAGACCGAACCATTATCGTTCATTTTCCACCGCTTTGGATACCAGACGATGCATCCATTCGACGGATTTAGGAGATGGTTAGAGAGCCGCGAATCGGTGCCAAGCGTATATCGCGTTCACACGCCACGATCGTCCTCTGGAGAAGACGACACCGTGGACGTATAGTAAAATCCCGTCGTTTCTTTCTTGATCTCCGGTCTCGGTGTTTCGTTGAAACGGTGTATCAATCGGCGAGCTTAGAGATAGGAAAAGATTCGTTGACGGTGCACGGAACCGTTCGGCGATTTTCATCTATAACGCGGGGTATACCCTATGAGAAACGCGTAAGTACGTCGATACGAGTCCCGTTCACCAGCGAGAAACTTCACCGTTTTGCGTTTGAAGATCAAACGTTTGAAAGCGTGCTCTTTCTCGTCCTAAGAGGTAGCGCACGGTCGTATTGTAGCTGGGAAAATGCATGGCCGAGCGCGGACGGCGGAAGCGCGCGGGTCTCTTATCGAGACAGTATTTCATGCGGACTTTCTTACGTCCGCATTAAATTTTACCAAACGAACCAGCCGGCTTTTGGTTCGCCTGAGAGATATACGCATACACATATATATATATATATATACGAATCTTTACCGGAGAGTGTCGATCGACGATTCCACGGAAACCTTTGCCCGTGTTACGTACAAGGGCAAAGTACAATCGACACACCGATACTGGATCGCGTGCATGTTTTCACGGTAATTCGTCGAGAGTGAATACGTTCCGTTAAAAGACAAATGATATTTAGTCGGTATCATGAATCATCGGGCAGCTTCTTCGCGGATACGATCTATGCGCGCGCATTAGCGCTCGGGCATGCGCGACCGATGAAATGATCGCGCGAACTGCGTGGCACCCGCTGCACTTCCGGGCGTGCAACGCGCGAAGATCTCGTCCCTGAAGATCTCCCAGCCGTCACGGAAGAGAGAGAGAGAAAAATGATATTTAGCAAGCGGCGGCGCGAACGTCGCCTGCAATCGCGCAGATTTCTCTGGTCGCGCCTAGCGCGATGAGAACGATGACGTATCGGGCCACGATACGTCGGCGATGCCCGCCTCGAGACGTGTTTTCCTCGTGGAACAGTCAAGGCCGCCGCGAGATAATTATGCAGATAACGGTGATGCTCGCCGGTAACCCAGCTGCGTGGAGGATCTACAGGTCCGTTCCTTGCAAAAGATAAGCTTTTACTTCATTCTTTTGTGTCTGTCCTTAGCGTTGATCTTTGAACTTTCCATATATGTATACTCTCGAACATCGCGTTTTCAACTGTCGTCCGTCTGAAATCGCTGGCCAGACGGTACACTTTTACAAAAACTTTCCATTGCCAGCCTAGAAAAATGATTAGGATACGCGATCTTTACCGAACTGTAGAAGGAACTTGTACAAGAAACCGGTTCGTACAATTGATTGCGTAATGATTTATTTGATCGTTGGACGCTGTCGATATCATCATACAAAGAGCTTCTTTCTCTTCTTTTCCTATTATTTTTTTTTTTTGTTAGTAATTCTGGGCTCACCTTCGATGAAATAAAACGCGGGGTCGTTAAGAGGTTCTAAGGTCCCGGATAAACGTGCCCCTAGCTCACCACCGCGCCCTTTCAGTAATTACTTGCTGGTAGGAGAGGTAAATCCGAGCTGATACCGCCGGATGCGATTATTCGTTTTTTCTTTCTATCTTCTTTTTTTTTTTTTTTGACCCCCCGGTGTTACGCGCTCTCCGTTAATTCTACCGCGGACGCGCGGAATAGGAAAAAGGAAAACAACGCGACGAATTTTCTGAAAATAGAGCTGCATACTGAAACCGCGGCCAGATTGGATCATCTGATTTTCCCTCGGAGAGTAATTTCGACTTCATTCCCATGTCGGAGTACGGTTCATTATATCGTTCGTGTGAATTCCGTCTCCACGACAAGGATATCCTTAAAGAGTACCGGGGCTCCCGATAATGTCCGTAGCAACTAACCATGTTTGCCGACTGGCAAAATAGACAGCCTGAAACATTTCTCTCGCCGAACGAATCGCTTCAAACGTTCCCGATTAGTTTGTCATTAAAAAAGATCGGGGCAGGCCAACGACAGCGGCCCGATCGTGTCCCACGCAAACGTTTTAAATCCTCAGAAACACGGCCGAGATAAATCCAATTATGCTCATTGCGTTATCCGCTTAATACACCGAATTCCTATTTACCAGCACGCCCTCCCCGGTATCTTCTACCCGGAACAAGCACGCGAATTGTAATTTTGCGCAGTGCCAATCAAAGCACGGATTAAATCTGTTAATGGTCGGGCAAAGCTTGTAAATCCATATTCGAAAACCGATTAAGGAGATTTTCCAATTTTTCCGCTACCTATTGATTTCGTATGGTTAACACGATTATCGTGTCCGGCCCGCGGACAGCCGAAATTAATATCAGAAAGCTCGCGATTTTGCGTGAATTAACGTTTATTGCAGTCAAATGAAGCCGAACGACCTCTCTTTGAACCCGATGATTTTCCGCGAAATGTAATCCCCCTCTACGGTTACACAGCGCGTACGCGTTGCGTTTCACCGAAAGGAAAAGAAAAAAAAGCGACGAGGGCATTTACGACTCGTTAAAACTGGCGCGATTAAAGTGTACTTTCGATCGAGCTTTCTTTTTCCTTTCGTGTTGGCATGAAGTATATAACGGATTTCAAACTTTCTTTGCAATCGTTGCTTCTTAAAGGATCCATGAATTTTACATGCATCTCGTACATTACGAGAATGGAATAGATAATAGACGAATTTAAAACGTTCCGTGGATATAAGGTAGTTTGCTGCATTTAACTAAAGGTTGAACATTCATCCCGTTAAAATTCTGTTTAATGTATTACAATGCCTCATGACGTGTCCAGGGTGATGCACTTTCGAATAGAAATTATCTTCGTCAGGATTACAGGCCCGATAACTTTGTTTTGTTTCGTAGAGTCATTGTGAAAATATTTTACGATGCTAGGTGAACTTTAGACCTTTACACTACTGCTGTACTTATATACAATTTCTGTAGTACACTTTAAGAATTCTAGAGTGTAACAGAATTCCATACGATTCACATTTTCATGAAATTAACACGGTTCTGATAACCGGTACAACGAAGATATTTATCTTCATGTTTCTGTAGGAGACAATTGAATTTAGTGTTCATTTGTGTATTGTTATAGTACTTGTGCAATTTTTACGTTTTACCTGTTTATAAGTACGTACTGACTAATTTTACATGTTTATAAATGTATACGACATTTTCTAGCTAATATTACAACTAATTTTTTATTTACAAAATTTATTATAATTTATTTTAAACAATTATGTTTGGATTATAGTATATTAATACATGGTAAGGATTACGTTTTCTAGAATCTTACGTGAAATAAACGTTGAAAACGGCAGTTTTTGTAGGTTATTGCCGAGTTTAGTATTCCGAGTATATATATAATGACATTGACATAAAGTTACACAAGTTTAAACGAAAGAAAACGGTTTTTTGAATTGAAACTATTAGAAGGAATCGCATCGCGTGTTTAGTCGCGTTTGAATTCGAGCGCCCTTCGCGCCATTCCCCACGGCAGATGCACGAAGGTCAAAAGTATTTTAAAAATAAGGCCGTAGGCATTGGCAGATTGGTATGGCAGTGGACGTTAAGGGTCGGGTGGCGTTGTAATGGCAAAAAGTTTGCGAAAGGTGAGTAATCGTCGGAACGATAAACAAACCCGGGTCGTTAGTGTATACGGTGCGTTAGTTAGCTGGCGCTGGGTTTAGGTAAATAAAGCCGCGTGTGGAGCGTGTTCGGATGGTTAGAAATCGTGCATCAACAAATCGAGTTTTCGCGAGAAGGCTCGTGGCTAGACGAGCACGACCGACAATGGCGCCCAAGCCTCGCGAATATTGACATTGCCGAAAACATTATCTTCGAATATTGGATATTATCGTATTCGTGGGTGATATGTACTGCGTCGCAATTAATATTCTAACCTTCTTTTGAATTTCGTTACGCACGTCGACGTAAAATCGCAAACGGAGCAGTTGGTCGGTTACCGAGGTTATGCGAAAAAAATGTTTTCGGCACGTATAGTAGCGACGCGTGAACCCTGAAGGGTTTTACAGTTATACTGCAATGTGGCACATTTGCAGAAGCACGGAAGAAGTTGTGTGGGTCTAGAGTTGCGATATAATCTCCGAGGAGATATCGTCAAGTCGATATAGGAGAGTGTGCGTGGAGAAGGCGTGTGAGTTAACGTTTTAAGGGTTAGGGAGTCATTCTGTAGTCAGGGTGATCAAAGTCTCTAGTGTGGACAGTTCAGGGCAGCTAGTTTGGTTGTAGGGTCGGGATTGGAGATAGACAAGATGGACCAACAGTATTGTCTACGGTGGAACAATCATCCAGCCAACCTCACAGACGTTCTCAGCTCATTGCTTGCCAGAGAGGCACTGTGCGACGTTACCCTGGCATGTGTTGGAGAGACATTCAAGGCACACCAGACGATACTCTCTGCATGCAGTCCATATTTTGAGAGCATTTTCCTCCAGAATACCCATCCCCATCCAATTATATTCCTGAAGGATGTCAATGAGACGGAAATGAAGGCATTGCTGCACTTTATGTATAAGGGAGAAGTTAATGTTAGTCAGCATCTACTACCGATGTTCCTTAAAACAGCGGAGGCATTACAGATTAGAGGCCTCACTGATAATAGTGTAAATAACAAGACAGAAGAAAAAAGTCCATCACCAGAACCAGAAACGCAAACTGGTGTTAGGCATACTGATTCTCCTAACCTTCAGCCTCTTCCTGAAAAAAGGAAAAGAAAGGCTTCAGGCAGCTATGACGTTTCCCTTAGTGGTACACCCAGTGAACGGTTCATGTCCGATTCTCAGGTACGTAATTTTATATACTATACATTCCTATTTGTACTTTATTATTGTAAATATAGTTTATCTTAAGTTTCTATTGATAAAGTAGTAATATATTTTACATTTCTGTGTTTCTGTACCATTTTTGTTAATTTTCACTATATATCACGTAAGACAAAAATTTTGGAGTAATATAAATTATATGGTAGTAGAACACAGTAATACTGCTTGAAATTTCTACATTAATTTCTATGGCCAAAGTACTCCATTCAATTTTATATACATATCCTTTAGCATACTGATAACATTATAGTTTTTATAGATAGAACATAGATAGAACATTACAAACATAGATTTCATATTTATAAAGAATGTTTCTAAAAAGTACATTATAATAGAGTGAAATCATTCCTACTTTTTATAAGATTTTCTCATATTTTGTAAATATTAATTACTTCATTCTGTGGTATCTGTATAATTGTTCAGTGACTCATATTTTTTAATCTAATTAGCTACAATATATGTTAATGAGTTTTCTATTATTAAAGCAATTTCTTTTAAGTATTTAGGGTAACTGTATTTTTAAATATTCAGCTTTTTGTTACCGTTTATTTATGTAAGATGTGAATCCGTTTAAATGTGAAATCTTGATTGTGATTGTTAGATTGAATCAATTTTCTTGTTTTCCGACATGTATTTTCAAAGCATATGCTCCCGCGTACTCGCGCGCGTGCGTTCGTGCATGCGTGCGTGCGTGCACGTACATAGTCACATGTGTATTTATACATCAATTTTTCTTACACGTACTGCCTAAAATTTAGAGATAGTGATCGTACTTTGTTATCAATAAACTACATGTGTGTGAGTATGATTGTACAGCTTTCCAAATACCTCCTGTTGACCTTGAGGAATCAAAAGAAACCTAATCTGTGTTCTAATACGGGTATCGAGTATTATAATCGCGATGAGAATTTGCAATTGAAATAATTCATGATTTCAAAATTAATGTTTCGTTAACAAAATATTAGGTTTTCGAAAAATATATTTCACTGTACTAATTGTATGTTTATGTAAGTCTGATTGAAATTCAATGGAGATACTTTGTACATACACACCACAATCAGAGATGGATTTGGTGCATTTAAAATCTGTATCCTTCTAATTTATTGTTTCTAGGCATCTTCACAATGTAGTTACAAATCAAGCCCTCCTGTGATTCCAAAGTTAAATAATGCCTTGGGAGGTGAAATGGAGGATGGTGGCCGACCTATGTCTCCTGCATCACAGCCGCAACCATCTATCAAGCAAGAGTTAGATCATCACTTACCAGACTTCCACGACAACATCTCCCTCCCAGTAAGTGATTTTTTATGTGTATTTTTCAATATCATGGTAACAGTGCAGTTACATTTTGCATGTTGATTGCATAATTTTTAGCAGTTGTATAGTGTATGGTAGAAAATAATTCGTAACTGTATGTTTGTATTATGAATGTGCTTGTACATTATTGAAATACTATATTCTAGTTTAATTTTGGACATACTTGGTTCAGTTGTTCTACTGCGAAAGATTGTTATTCCAAACATATAAATCTTTTTTACTATTTATTAGAAAAGTAGTTTTGACGTAGTTACTATCGGGTCTAGTTACAAAGTAGTTATGTCTCATTGAATCCATTTTCTTTATTATGCACTGTTTTTATTTCAGCAGATAATCTTTACTATCATTTTTTTCGTTTTATAATGAATTTACACTGTACCGAAGAGAATTATTTCTTCATGTGTAGCTTATCAGCTATTCGTGAAATCGTGCAACATATATGCAACATAGTTTCGTTACTGTTCCCATAATTAATGATTAACTGCTATTATCCTACAATTACTCAGTCCAAACAGACATGGGAAGGAAGGGATGTCTAAATAAAGATGCAAAAAACTTGTCTTCTTATGTGCTAAAAGGCAGAATCAAAGATGTGTTGATTAAACACATATCCTTTCCTTCTCTGTTGACAGACTAGTGTGGAGTGGGAGGTTCAGAGAGATGGGAAGAGTGACGAAACTATGGATGTACAGAATATGACCCAAAATCAACCAGATTCTCCTGTGATACAAGTTTCTCGTGAAAACACTATCATGGCTGGCGGTTCTCTGTCTATCAATATATCAGGGACTACATCTGAATATTATGGAAACTCTTATAAATCCTCGCAGAATCAGTCTGTTCCTCGCATATTGTATTCGCACAAAAGTAGTAATGCAAACTCATTATTAAATTTGCTGGCAGAAAGTACAAAGGCTAAGAACTTTCAGAATGATAACAATACACATAGGCCAACAGTAGTAAATCAACATCAAGGAATGTCAGTGATACAGTCAACTTTGTGCAATATTTCACAACGTACTATTCCCCAAAGTAGAAAAGCTGGTAGATTCAAAGTCAGTTGGTTAGATATGTACTCTTGGCTTCAGTACGATGAGAGATCAAATCTTATGTTTTGTAAATACTGTAGGAAATGGAGTGATTCAATTCCTGAAATACGTACTTCGTTTGCAGCCGGGAACGGCAATTTTAGACTTGAAATAGTGAACCACCATGATAAGTGTAAAGCACACAATTTGTGTGTTGCTAAAGAAAGTGAAGCGAAAGGAAGTTGTACTTACATCATGAAAACCTGTTGATCATATATTATCGTCGCATTTTTATTAAAATTTGCGATCAACTTCGTTCAAATGAGATTCAACTGGATTTTGATTATTAAAAACTCATTTTTTTGTAGTCTTGTTAACTACAGCAATATGTAGATATGTCTTTTGAGCAGTCAATTATTATAATGTCCTGTCTGCATGCACGTTTTTATGTGTTTTTTATTGTGTAAGACTGCATAAGTTAACTGCCAGTCATTTTCTTTTGTCATATGAATGCGTATTTCCTGCATTTTATTCACAATATGTTTATGTCACAGTAGTTTACCAATTTTTGCCAATATTGTCTTCGTTTTTATACATATCTATTTTACGTTAGTGTTGACATGCATGAATACGTACTTTAAAAGTGCATCAAGAGCATATACAAAATCGTAGTGCAAAAACATAAGATTCAAAAAAGATTCATTTTCTCGACCGTTGATGTTCCTATGATCATAAACAAACCACTTCAATTAGTTAATTCTTTCCAAATACATATTGGTATAAATTCGTACTTGCATTTTTGATTGTCCAAACAGAGACAAAAACAGACAGTGGTGCACGTAGAATTCAATTTTATTTATATCTTATTCACTTAATTATTTTATAATATGGAAACATTGATGCTAATGTAATTAGTGTTATTACGTTTCTTCGGGTTATTAGTTACCATACGCTTTTATTTTTTTCTCGTGAATACAAGAAGATACAGCGTAATAAAATGGATAAACTTAAGTTTCTATTTAAACTATTATATATTTAAATGAAAGTTATATAATGAAGACACTTTATAAAATAATCGGTGTTGAAAAATGTTTATTGTTACGTTACAAAGTTTTGTGTAAAATTAATTGTCTGGCCCCAGAAATATACATATTTTTTAAAACGTAATGGTTACGTTTGGTTAATAGGTTTTAAATATAAAAGTTTCTTTGGTTTTATAAAATAAAATTGAATACGTTGAAATTCATACACATATTCTCCTAAATAATACGTTTTTGTGTAACAATGTGTATAATGTGTTGTTAATCCTGCAATATTGTTAGAATGTAAAATTTTGCCAAAGTACGTGCATTTTTGAGGTGATGTGCTTCTGTGATGGATATTTCCACGTTACATTTTAATGGATATTAAATACTTTTATTATAAATCATACTACCATTGTTTCGTAATACATCCACGTAGGAATTCGACGTATTGTTACGAATTGTCTTTCCAGCAAGTTAATTTCCTCGAGTATTTGTTATAATTAGGATTAGAATGTGTAAATAGCGAATAAAAGACGACTGTTATTCATTTCGTTTTATTATTTCTATGTATGAGTTGATAATTTGTCACGCATTTTAGTTGAAAACGCATAGTTATCAATTTGCAAGATAGAAGAATCTGCAAATAAATTTGATTGAAAAGGTTTATGAAAATAATACTTCAGTCGTTCTTGTTCGTTTCTTTATTATTTCTATTATCTCAGACAGTACCCCTAAAGAGTCAAATCTTTATTAAATTCTAAATCGTTAAATATTACTGTACGATTCTGACGTATAAATCAGAACTTCAGTTATAGAATTTTACAAACTACAAAAAAATCAGTATTTTGGGCAAACATGTAATTGATAAAAAAAGAATTATATTTCCACATCAAGAGCCCTCGCTATTACCTTGTAGATGTCGATACAAAGAATACAAAAACAGTGTAACTATTTATATATATAATTATCGTAATAATTAACATTCAAAAATAAAACGGAGCAGAAAATTCCGTAATGACGGTACAGATAAATCTTTTGGTCCCTAAACAAGTTAATCGTCTAACATTCTACAAAACAACATCTGCAATCGAAAATATTTATATGATAAAGAAATATCAAGAAACCTTGTAGTCTTGAAATCTGTTAGTCGTCATAGTATGACCAAATCGAAATGAAAATATTCAATTCAAACGTTCAATTCTCCGGGACATGGTGTTGGGAACAGCTAATCGAAACTCGCGGTATCCCTATTCACGTTATGTTATTTAGAAAAAAAGAGACGGCTAGTTGTAATGTTTTCTTTAGAAACGGATTGTAAAAATCGTCATAGTTAAGGCTGATCCAATTCTAATGTTATTCACGATGATAATCGTGTCCTGTGCAGGGCCATCCAGTCGGACTGCTCGGAGAGGAAGGAGGAGCCACGACGGGCGCGCTAAGCGATGGCGTGCCAGGAATTGAATCGTCCGAACACCATAATCCCCCAGAAATGCTCGACGGACTCGATGGTAAGACCACTGAACATCTATCATTACAATCAAAATTCCATTTAGATCTGACGTACTTCCCTTCGCCCGTCTCACGAATGCGTCGCTCGAGTTCCGCGCGAGTCGACAGGGTAATCCGGGGGTGCGCAACAAGTAACACGTGGGGGTTGTATATTCGTCAATTGACGTGTATCGTACGTACGCGACCGGCAGGTGGGGGACGGTCAACAGGTGCGCCGGAATGTAACTAACAAATATGAATTCGGGATGAACAAAAAAAAAAAAAGAAGAATAAAACGGGAACTGTTCGCGGTGCTTGGGGAATTACGTGACGTCTAAGAAATCGAGGGAGATGTGCATGCACGTTTGCAAGGATTTTTGCGCGTCGAGTCGTACATAGGCGTACGAAGCGAGCATCCCTCTATTTCCGAGTCTGGCAAGCGTAGTGAGTGGTAACTCTTTTTTAGAACATGAACAACTTTCTTGTTGGATGTACATTTATCCTGTATATGTTGTGTGTATATACGTGTGCACGCGCACGCGTGGCTCGCACGCGCGCGCGCGCGCGCGTGTGCCCGCCTCCCCATATTGTACATATACATACGGGTATACCACACAGCTATACGTTTATCCTTGGTGTTGTGGTGATGGTATCGTGCATTTGCTATGTCACTGTATAGTAGTTACAAATTCCCGTGAGTGTGTTAATATACGTGGGCGTGTCTAACAAGAACCGATTCGTGAGCGAAACACGCAAGAAATTTGACCGGGGGAAAACAAGAAAAAAGAAAAAAACAAAAAAGAAACGGAAAGCAAAGTATCGAGACACCTTGTGGTTTTGGGCAAAAAGAAAAAGAAAAATAATAATGGTATCGGCAAAGTGGACCCGGTACTTTTGTTGGTATCAGCAAATGGACCGTACTCTTGTCTGTCTGTAACAATTTCTGAGATGGTGTATGGCCGGTGATTGCGTACGTGGTCCCGTATGTGTTGCGTTTTTATTTTCATTTTTTTTTTTTTGTGTGTTTTGCTACCTTCTTCTACATATACATACACATCGGTGGATCGGTGTATGCGTGGTCAGAAAAATAAACCTAACGCAAAACTATATAACCGTGCGTGTGTACGTACGAAAGAATGCCCGTTGCCTCTATTGCGTTGGTGAACATGTGTGTATATACGTGTGTCACATAATTTTCCAATCATAATATATATATATATATATATATATATATACACATAATTACTTATAAATCAATTGTATATACATATATATACATGTATACGTGTGTATATATATATGCATATACATATATCCACTGCGTGGCGTGATTCTCTATGCATGCCTTTACACACTGTTTTCTCTATCCTCTTACAAATTACCTTTTTGCCACGTCTCTTACATCACCGTACCTGGCGATCTTAATCTTACATTCTCACGTGTCTCTCTTGCGCTGTTTACTTTAACCCGCACAACGTGTATAGTCCAGTAAACGGAGACATTAGCAACAAAATACAGCCGTTCGTGTGGGCTCGTTACGTAACCGGATCGGATGAATCGGCGGCCGAGAATCGTCATCGCATTCGGTTCGGTTCGGTTAGCTGAACAAGAGAGAGAAAAAAAAACCAGACGGCTAGTTACGCAACGGTAGATCATTTGCCTGCCCGGCAGCGATTCCACTGTTCTTGGGGCTTTCGTCGGGGGTGACACCTCATGAAAATTATGCGCTAGAGAAACTAGAATTTTGTTGCTAACGGGACGACGACGACGACGTCACGTCCGTTTTACCATTACTCGAATCTGTCGCCGTTCGATCTCGAGGAGAATCCTCGTTGTCCTCGTGATCGTTCGCAGTCATCGAACTTAATATGTAGCCGCTTGGCCAGCGACTGAACGATCAGTCCTATTCTGCGCAGATCTCACGACGTGTTCGTTTCTCACACGCGTAACTCGCCCGTGAGACGCTCGTATAGATCCAAGTCCGATTGATGAGACTAGTGGCAGAATTTTGTTGTTTCTCTTTCTCTCTTTTTTTTTTTTTTTTTTTTTTTGGTTTTTTCAATGATGGCAACTCGATTGATAAATTCCGATTGCGAAGGCTGCATCGTCAACGGTGTCCTTCGTCGTGTGTCTTGTGCTGTTTTTTCTTTTTTTGTTCCGAAAAAAGAAGAAAAGGAACTCTATTATTTTTCGAATTCTATTCGCGTACGTTTCTTTTCATGTCTCTATCTTCTTTCAGTTGTTTTTTCTTTTCTCTTTAGATCTGTTCCTTTCGGTTGTGTGACGACGTGTTGTGCTAGCTTTTTGCGTTTTCTTATTGTAACTCTTGGACAACGACAAGAGCAGTAGGTGTGCGCTTTTTTGGTTCGTTTTTTTTACGTGAAATGACATTTGAACGTTTGTTACGAGTAGGCTACTCTAGAAATATATATCTACTTATTACGTTACGAGTGTGGTGTTTCTCGAACTTCTACAATATTATCTTCCGTAAACACTGTTGATTGAAGAACGTACAGTATTTAAATTGAGAGAATCCCCTCTTTTCTCTGCAACTCTTGGACTTGATGTAGAAGTGTGAGTTGATACGTTATTTTTTTTCTATGAAAGGTGTTATACACGTATTCTTTCTATTTTTTTTTAAATTTATTTCTTGTGTTTATATATATCTATACTACATATAAATATCTTATCATGAATTCTAGTAGAGATTGTCGGTAATCGCTGATGACCTAACCAAACATTATTGAAATCGGGTGATAAGTATCAGTGCCAAATCTGCATGATATCGTTAACGAGGTCCGACAATCTGAAAAGGCATATTAAGTTGAAGCACGGAATACGAGAGGGATCCTTGATATCGCCGTTCATGCGTCTAGAGCACAAGCATTTTTTAGCAAAATCGGAAACAGCTTACCTCACCTAGAATTCTACCGTGGCTGCGCGAAATCCCGGCCGAATGCGAGATCGCGCGATAAATATATCCGTTCCGCTCTATTCGGTACATAGAACACGCAGAGGAAACGCATATATAATATATATAAAAATACATATATTTAACAAACAAAAAAAAAAAAAGAATATGGACGTCGAGAAACGAAAAGAACGAAAAGCAAACGAAAGCGAAACAAAAATGAAACGAAAGAAAGGGAGAAAAAAAATATTGAAAATATGAAAGGCAGAAGCTATCCCGAAAATAATCGGCAAGATTCGTTTGCTCTGGCGTTCACGGTGAAACGCGGGGGCGTGTGATTAGTATTAATCAACTCCTTAGTCGAGAGGCTTTCGGCATTCATTACTCTTAAACCGAGCGGATCGTCCGCTCGTGACTACATTTAATCGTATTCTCGCCCCCGTTTAAATTATTCTCCTAAACGAGATCCAATTATTTATTGTCATGCGTCTCTAGTTACTTAAGGGTTTTTCGAATATCGTTTTATTTTCTTCTTCTTTAACTATTAGACTTACTTAAATAAGCGCTCGGTCCGGGCGCGCGTGCGCCTCGTCTTCAACAGAAATGGACGAGCCGGCCCGCCACCGAGATCGGTATTTCATCGTAGATTCGATTGCTTATAGAGATCTCATCGTATTGGAGTAATTTATTGAGAGTACAAAGTATATAAGTGTGAAGGAACGAGACGAGAGGTCTGAGTGTTCATGTAGACTACCTCCGCAAAACAGATAACCGTGAAATAGCGTTTATGGTGAATAGTGTCTTCTATTTATTTATTTATTTATTTTTTCTCTTTTCGTTCCGATTCTCTCGAGCTGACGAGAAATGATTTATCACGGTTCCCCGAGCGTGTTTCATACGTTTCGAACAGGGGAGGGAAAGTCTCCGGCGAGAAGAGATTTTTCCCACCTTTGCACGCGGCGCATGGGACTGAATTTTACCGCACGCATCTTCCACCTCCCCTCTATCCTCCCTCGGGCACCTTCCTACAGACGTTCATTTCTGCCGGCAAGAAACCCCGAGATATATTGACTTTGATTAGATTTGCATAAGAGAGATACTTCGGACGGTTGAACGCACGTGGCACTCTACGGTTTTCGTATATAAGGGGGGTGTAGGGGAGGATGAGAGCGTATGATTCTGAACCGTCGGGAAATTCAGCCGCGAAATTGCTCGCCGTTAATATTCGGCTGTTGCGCTCGCGAGTGAACGTTCGGTCCCTTTACCGTCGTTTGAAATGGATGCATTTCAATTTTTGGCCCCGCGGAAACAATTTCGTTACCGGAAATATTCATCGTTTTCCTAATCCATCCCTGCCGCAGCGTCTCGATCGCCCCGCGACGCGGATTTTGCATAATTAACTTTCTCGAAAAGCGTACTCGTCCGGGGCCCTTTTAGGAACCGGGCGAATCCGCGGAACTCGTGTTTCCCAAAGGGCAATTATTCAAGAGAATATTTTATGTATTCATAGTATACAAATAACGCCACCCACCCCCCTGTCTCTCTTGAGTTCGATGAATTCTAAATAGGCGTTTTATATTTCGTGTCTGAAAATTGTTCGACATGTGTTCTGTGTTTGTGATTTTTTTTATGATATTCTCACTGTCTTTTGTAGCGATAACGAGGTATCCGATTGTTGAGCGTTATGTTTCATGATCTTGGCTGAATTAATCTCTATACTCGACTTTCCCTATGCAATCTCTAAATTCTTCGATCAATTTTATAAAGAAGATAAATCCCAAAGTCTCCACGAGAACGTTGAATATTTTGATGAATGGAAATTTCATTCGTGAGCAAGTTGAAGTGTCTTTATTTTATTCGACTGTTTCGAACGATCATCGATTTCTCGGGCATGTTCCGACACTTTTTGCGTCTGAGACGACGAATCGAAGACAATAGAAAGTCTACGAGTGCATCCCAGAAACCGTCCGTCGTCCATTATTTCGCCCGGAATGTCCTTCAGGGAACGAGAAACTTAAACGCGTCGCGATGCCCAGGGTATTTCATCCAGTTCCATGCCCGGTGCCCAATTTAACTGCCTGTATACCTACATCGTAAACGCCAGTCCTG